CATCCATACGCTTAAGTGAATACGGAAGAGTAGATGCAGAATAATGGATGTGACTTCTAGAATTGCACAGGTTTATTGATGTGCGAACCGATGAATGTGGGTGCATAGATGTAGATATGTGAATGTGGATGTGTAAATGTGGATCAGAATGTTCGATAAATGGAAGGGTGTATAAGTATATACGGATATAAATTTGTGAGTGTGGATGAAAAGATATGGGAATGTGAATACGCAAATAAGGCGAGTGAGATAGATGGCTCCATTATTATGTATTTAAAATGAGACAAATGACTGATTCCTTTACTTGCTAGCTCTTAGCAATTTTTTGATTTGAGTAGTTTAGTTGTACTTTATTAATACAAGACTAAGCAGTTTTGCGGTTTCAAATTTACGTCTTCAGTTAATTAAATCTCATTATAAACCTACATTCTTAGAATAACCAATTTTTCGTTAATTATAATTTTCTTATCAGTTACGGTTACTATCTATAATCACGAAAAGCAGTCGAGAGCCATCTATAATACCAGCAGCACTTACCTCTGTTGGTCGTTCACACTGAAAGCAAATTTATTTTTTCTCGAAATCCGTATTAAGCAACAAAAATAAGAAGGCGAACCGCCTAATAATAATCCTAATGTTACATTTATCATCTCGACTAACTTATTACAAAATATGATTTAAACAAAAAACATTTATTTCTTACTCGAATTCTCTTCGGACATATTTTTACGATTATAACCAATTTTTCAAACCATGATTTATTGACAAGAAAATTTTCTCACTTCAGATAGGTAATATTTCTTGTTAAATAACGGGCTACACTATTAGCTTTGATGGCTCGCTTTGTAATATCAACTTTAATACCAAATCTGGACAAAACAAGTAATTAAAATGACGAATTTGCCGTCATAGATCACAATATCCGTAAGTTTAAATTAAAAAGATACTAAACGAAACAACCAGTATAAACTAGTGTTAAAAATGAGAGAAAAAAGTGTACATCTGATCACAAAAATGAAGTATGTTCACAACCACAGGACAGTAACACCGTTAGATGTTAAAGGTAGCATCGGATAACAAATGCAACACAGTATCATGCAACAAAAAAATCGCTTTCAATATTTGTAGTACTATTCCAAAAGTTCCTATTCCATTACTTTTCAACTTAATTTAATCAGAAAATCTGAAGAATTAAAGGAAACGACCTCATACTAATATATGAAAAGTTCTATTAGATAACTCGCAGCACCTGCCATTAAAAGAAAATTGAGATAAATACTACACCTACTGATAACATTACTTGTCAACTTGAAAATATCTTTAGGTAAATGACAAAATATAATTATAGATCATTTATAGTTCAAATATTACCGAGCAGATGAACGAGGCCTTATCACACGCATTTCAGTTTCCATTCGTGATACTGGTCGGCGAGGATTTGAAGGTAAATTGCGGTAATTACATTGTGATGAAGTTACTGGCATGTGACCCTCATTTCCACTTTTAGTCCGATCGAAAGTTGCAGTATTATGATCATGGATGATTCTTCCCGAAGATCTTTCAGGAATTCTCATAACTGAACGACTATTAGCGTCCAACTGTATGGCGCTGTCGATTTCCGATAAAGCGACGTGCAGTTCTTTCTTAATTGATTTTTTCACATTCTCATTACCGATTATTTTTGGTATCTGTTCATCTGAAACGAACATTGCCACATAAAATATGAGTCTTAAAAATGTTTCATTTATTCACAGTAATATGTAATATCATACAAAATGTTCATGCCTTTTTAACATTAATAAAGATTAAATAACTCTTCTATATTCAATTATCTTTCAGTAGGATGCATAACAAAAAGTAGAAAATAACAAATCTTACAATTTAGTTACCGAAATAAAAATTTCAAAATCCTAAAAATTATGTTATTACTTACTAACTACACTACTAATTTTCTGTTTCATGACAAGAGCCATCATATCCATATCGTTTAACCTTGACTGTAAACATGACACTTGCTCTTGCAGAAGTTCAACGACCTAAACAGATTTACGCGGGAAATTATGACGATGAAATGAAGTACCCTCTAAATTACATGAACATGATGGAATAGTCAGATTCACATAATTATAATGGTGCTAACTTTGTCTGCAGCGTTTGTAGATGTGTGACTAAATCCACTATGGTTTAATGGAAAAGAATTCCCTGCAATGAAAACATACACATATTAAGCATACATATGGCAAAGCTCTAAGCAATTTTAAAATTACTGCAAAAAAATTTGTAACAAAAAGTAAACATTAATAATATTGCTGTTTGAAATGTTAAAAAGAAACGGACCAAAATGAAAGAAAAAAATAGGCATCAAAAAGACAAATATAATTGGAATAAACAATTTTAGCACTACATAAATTGTTCAGCATATCTTTTTAATAAAACTGTGATCTGATATAGTATCCACAACTGTGGTGACAAATGCTTCGCTATCACCTATATTAGCCAAAATTCTTTCAGGTGAACTGATCTTATGTAATTTACCCATAACAGTTGGCAGTTTAATAACGTCCTTGTTTCGATTAGGATGTACTGCGCCAGCAATAGTTATATTTTCAAAATTTGTAACATTCAAAGTTCGTGGTTCTTCAAATTTCTGTAAAATTTTGAATTTATCTACATTAATCATAAACATAATGCTCCTAAGTACATTATCGGTTTGTGTACTGATCCCTAGCCTAGGTTATTGATAAAAGCTTTTGACAAAATATACAAATAATTTTGAAAATATATGACAATAATACAACGAGATTTATGAAAAATTTAGTTTAAATTAAGAATTGTAATTAAAATAATCTAATAAGAAACTCACTTTTGGTGATTTGATATGGAGTGCGTATTGAATTAAAGAATGCGCATCAGCTACTGGTGGATAACGCATCAAATATTGCAGTGTAGTACTATAATCTTCATTTATCACTAAAAATATCATTATACAAAAGCTTAATAAATACTATGGAGTCTGAATTAATTACATCACTCTATCTTACCTAAGTGTCTAATGTATTCGAGCATTGCCACAAAAATATAGTCAACCAACGATAGCAGTGGTTTATAAGCAAATATTGCATCCCACACAAATAACAAATCATGAATGGGAAACTCGCGACCAAATAATAATCGCAACCATCGACTGCAATATGTTGACATAACAATATCTTAGAACTGCTATACCTAAAGTTTCATAGAAAGCTAACGATCTTCAGACACAAAATTATCTAAAATTATTAAGCTGCAATATTTAATGACTTCAAAGGTATGTTACTGCGTATGTTTATGCCAACTTATAACCAAAAAAAACAAGAGTCCTAAAAAAACCAATTATAAAAATAAAGACTCATGAATACTCATGAATTTGAAAATTCGACTAACATTCCGTAAATCTGGGGAGAAATTTGCATTTTCGAGAGATGCTGATATAGTGCCGGATCAATAACTGCCAATATATCATCCATGATACTTTGCAATTTAACAATCAATTCATTTTTGGGTTTTTCGTCAGTGAACAGCGCTGAACTGATTAACTGATTATTTTTCGCGATGATATTAGAATTTTCGACATGATCTTCATCGCCAGTCAAGTACCATCGTTCTAGCATCATCATTAACTGCGAAAATATTTCGCTAAAAATTATAATGACAACTGCCAATCAGGTAGAAAAATTTCTTAACATCAATCACTTGACGGTTAGCATATCCTCCCAAAATTTATATCACTAGCAGAGAGCGGATTGAAAAAGAACCCTTGAGGCTAGCTGCCTCCTACATTCCTTTGTTTACGAATATATCCAACAAATATCAAGACAAAAAGCTTACAAAGAATCGTGTTCAAGAAATTCGGGATCATTGACTGCAGAAAGAATTTTAAGTTCTTCAGAAGGCAATTCTCTGAAAGTAAACAAACCTATCTAATGTCTTTACAAAAGTGCAAAAAACATATAATTTAGCGTGATTTTCTCTTTCAAATACCAATATCTCATGAATATATTTTGCCTGACTTTTTCACTGAAAAAAAAACCAAATCACTTGAAATAAATCTTGACAAAGAAAAATATTAAATAGCTCACTCTAAAGAATTCTGTTCCATTAAATGAGAAAATGCTTGTTGATCATAATTAAGTACAAAAATTAAGGTTGCCAGTATTTCGTGCATACCCTAAAACATACATTCTTAAATGAAAAGCATTAGTTTAAAAAAAATAAAATCTTTAATCAATACCAGCAACCTGTCTGTATGCTATGTCCGGATGTTGCTTTGCATATATAAAAAGAATATCTATCATGGAAGATCGCACTTCATTGGCTTTGAAATACTCTAACTCTGGAAATCTAAAACAAAATACTTTTCAAATTAGCGTTTTATTTACTAAGTAAGTTTCTTCACAGTACTTACCTCAATACATACAGTAAGACTAAAAAATCGAATAAAAGCGTACGTTCGTTCTACATCACAACTTATACATTCACGTAGTTTAGAATCAGCAAAATATTGTTGCCAAGGATTCTGAAAACAAAAAAATTTACACTTGAACATATAGATACATTATGGAAACTTAACAAGAAATTATTCGAACAAATGACCTCTTCCCCAAGTGACAATGGATTACTGATATTTGGGTCCATAGTTAACGTTTTATCACGTGGATTAGTTAACCACTGAAAGTTTTAAATCATTAATTCGCAAATAACAAAGGCCTGTAAGTTTTTCAACTACTTTCCTGGATCCAAAAAGCACAACAGCTAGCTTCAAATATAAAAAACCATCAATTTGTTGCGAAAAAGAAGACAAAAAAACAAATAGCATACCAACCCGCGATTTCAATTTCGCATACGAGCTGCGTGTACGGGACAAAATCACACACCACTCATTACGTTCAAGAGGCAAAGAACGCAGCAAAATCTACAAAAATGGAGATTTTAGACACTATTCCACATTTTATCAATTGCTACATTTATCTAGCCAACAATGTTCGAAAAATGTAGCAGTGCAACTCATGTAAGTTTAATTTACATGCAATACAGTATTCACTTTTGTCTTGCAGGATAATGAACTTTTCAATGCCATAAACCGTAATTCTATTTAATGACTTACCCTCCATACAATAGATCTGACGTGGCATACACGGAGTTTACCATTCAAACAACTCTTTTCTATTTGCTTTAAATCTACCCGTTGCCCGAAAAATTCTTTCCATTCTTTTCTAAAGCAAAAATAAGTATACGTGAGTGAATACATCAGCATCAATTACTTTTCCATTTCTTCATTTTGTCAACTACACAATCCATGAGAACTTCACTTCTATACTGCTTTACTAAACACAATGAAAGGGAAAGAATGTCACCCAGATTTTACTCCAAGGCCAGTTCTTCAATAGTTTGACCACTTAAAAGTAATTGCACGCCTTACTTCACACATAATATGTAAGAGTAGAAACTTACTGGAAAGTTGGTTGATCACCGAAATTCATACCTGAAAGTTACATAAGCTGTGCAAGGAACAACGAACAATAAGCATGCAGACTCGTGGATACAATTTAAGGATCTTGAACATATCAACGATGACGAAATAAATCATTTCTCACTTGTGAAATGTATAAGACATTTTCTAATTCAGTAAGAAAGGTGCCACTCATGTCCGACAACACACATATAACATACAAACATCCTACAACAGATAACTCTTAAATAGTAATGAAAATTTTCAATGTTTCTAAAAAAAGATTAATACCAAACTGTAGAATCAGATCTGCAATCTTTTCTAGTATGTTATATGAGGAAGACATGATGTGTTCAAAGAAAGTATGCGAAGTTACTCACTTACTTCCGCCACTACGTCACCGAACGATAACTTTATCAGGTATGATGGATTGCATAAATGCTTTGCTTATGATGACCAATCATTAATGCTTCCCATTCACTTTATCTGATTTTTTCAGTAAGAGTTCTATATACAGCTTCTGCTGCCAATCGTCTTGCACAATTTTTGTAATGGATGACTGCCCGGTGCCCATTTCATTTATTGCACAATGTTTAACACACCCGATATACTACACCACTGGCTAACTCATCTAGTCATTGAGTATATAACGATAACTAATTAACCAAACAAGAAATAATGCAAATTTATTTCAGAAGCTTCACATCACTGTTTTTGCGACACAAAAACCACTATCAACAAATTTCTATCAGAATTCAAGTTGCTTTCTCCCTTTTGCATGCCAATGATTACTTCAAATTTCTACCCCAGAAACCTATACCATTTCAACAACAGTTACCTAAGGTTACCAAGCTCGAAACCTACAACTTCATGACTTAAAAAAGCTTACAATAATTCATACTCGACATTAAAAATGTAGTGGCAAAACACACTTGAGCAGTGTCATTCTAATCATTTCATACAATTTTTAAAGTAAAGAAAAACAACAGATCACGAGTTACAGTTACATTCCTCTCTTCATGAATAAAATTTAAGAATTTACTCGTTAAAAGTAAAAATGTTTAAGAGACCAAGACTTAGACCAGCAACTCCATCTCTAAAAGTAAAAGGCTTAGAAAGGGCTTCAATCACATAATAAATTTCTAAAATCTTCCAAAATTAGGATATTAAAACAAAGTCTGCCGCCAATATTGATATTACAAGAGTCAACTGCTAAAAAATATAAATTAAGACTAATCGTAAAATAAAAAGGACAAAATTCTCGTTAAACTAGGCACCTGAATTTTTTAATTTAAAAAATGTTGTACAAAAATAACGCAGCAAAAAAACCAAATAATGCCATAAATGCCTCATTTCAGACACTCGTTTTATGAGTCAAAAATATTCATAAAAATAATAGACAAAATAAACCATATCTCATACACCTGAAAAAAGAAATGTAGTCAGAAATAACTTGTGGAAACAACGCATATTTACCCTATTCGAAAAATCCTGCACTAATTTTCGTTTTAAAAGAGTAGAAAAAAAATAACCCAAAAATATCTTATCAATTTATGAAAAGAATAATGTACTCTCACATAAATGCTTTCAACTACATTAAACCAATTCCTTTGGTTAAAAATGCCTACAGCACCATCTGCTTTTTAGACACCAAATCAATCAGATTTGCAACATAATAAACAAAAATCCACGATTAACTCAAGACAAAACTCAGCACAAAGTTTTTAAAACTCAGGTGAGTGCCGAAGTCAGTCAATACTATGACAGCAACGAAGACATGGTAAAATATACTGAAACATGGTAAGCTCCAGAAAAATAATGAAGACAAAGGCACGAAAATTTTTCACTAGATATGACATCTGTTCCGAATCTGCATTGAGAAGACTTGATTTCTTGAATCTGATCAAAAAAGTGAGAGTGCCCACTTCTCGTACATAATATCGCAAATACAATATCCCACACTGCTCCATTCAGTAATGAGTTCCTGACTTTCCTTCCAGAAATATTAATGTAGCTTGCTTCCTACAAACAGTGGCACTTTTGAAGCAATTTTATTTGTGAATATCTTCGTTAATTTTTTTCTTTTCGTGAAATGATCACAACACCAAATGTATTAGTTCCGTTATATAACCTTTCATTAAAATTTACTTGGGGCAGCCGAGCTGTTTGGAGTTATAACACCAGGTTGAAAAGTTTGATGTTGCAACGGTGGTGCACCAGTTCCTGGATTGACTGAATTACGCAATGACCCAACATTACCTGCTGCTTGCTGTTGAGAAGGTTGTTGTGGTAATGACTGTTGAAATGCACTAGAGTGCTGCGGTTGAACTAAACACTTGGGAACTTTAGTGTAGTTAATTAAATAATGAATTGAAACTACTTCATACTAAACATTTTTTACATTGCGTGAAAAATATTTTCATCATAAAATTATCATGTATAGGGAGAGTAAACACCATCTAACCATGCATATATTGTCCATAAATCTGATCACTTGTACCCGAAATATACGCCTGATGAGCACCTGGCAACGAAGGTTGAGGAACAACAGCTGGTTCAGTTGCTGATACTTGGAAATGTTCACTAGGACCCGACTTAAATAAGACTTCATGAAACAAGAAAAAATTAAATTACACAAATTTTGTGAACAATTAAATTCAAATATCACAAGTAAATGATAATCCTCATCCTGTTCTTTCTGAAATATTTTTCCCATTTCACAAACATATTTCATAAAGGATTTATATGCAAACGCCGGAAAACAATGCAGAAACATGACATGCTCTTTCCAAAGGCAAAACTCATAAGATAAAAACAAAGTTATGTGAATTTCCCAGGTTATTTCAAAGAAACAATTAAATTGACAACCTGCCCATGAGTTTGATGCGCTTGAGAAAATGGTATATGCGCCGTAGGCGCTGCGACAGGAGGATGGACAACAACAGGTTGTGGACCATATGCCATCACAAAGCCCGGTTGTCCAGCCGCAAGAAAAGGAAATTGCTGTAACTCATGTAGCAAACATTCAATGTCAATTCAATAATCTCTATATGATTATATAATAAACCATGGGATATCAAGTTTGAAAAAATACAATGGGTGTCAATGATCTGATGTCTAATATGAAAATATGCACTATAAAGACCTATTCAAATATGGCTTCATATCCAAATTTAACAATTCGTACTTGTAAATCAAATAAATGTACTTGATGCATATTGAAGACTATACGCAAGTCATTTTAGTTATCTACTGTTTTCAACAAACATCAGTGTATCCAAAAGTGATCTCTGTTACAATTTTCACATATGCACATAATTTGCTTGCTTAAAAAACCGAATCTAGTGTCTTTATTTTGATCACAAAATCTTAGAACATCGAATCTAATACTACTGTAAAATCAGTTTAAAACATTACGTCTGAGGTAGAAGTATAAAATATATGACGATATCGTAATGCTAATTATATTAATTTAAGAAAATTGTCCGAGATTTTTCAGAGTGATCAAGTGCATACTGAAAAAATAAAAGAGCATACAAACAAACCGGTGCTTGGACATATAAATGCGGCTGGGCGCTTGCTGATGTTGGTTGCCCTGGTGGAAGTGTGACGAACAGAGTGTGTGGCGATTGTGGGGTACCCGACTGTGGATAATGTGTAAGTGACGGCTGTTGCTGCTGATGTACCTATTTGAATGGTGCAAAGTGAAGAAATAAATATAAAGATATGTGTACTGATTTTGCAACTAGAATATGTTTCAATATTTTTCACATTTAGATAAATGCGGGCTAGTAAATGCATGCACTGCATATCAACAAAATATTTTATCGCATACTGTTCTTCACAAAAAGTCTGTGTTTATTTCGACTTCCAATGCCTAATGTAAGACTCTCCTTTTAATCACAAACAACATATCAAGCACTGACAGATGGAATTATCTATCACTACCCTTCATCTCAACAAATTTTCGGTCAGAAAATGTATTGCAGCTAGGAATCTTTACAGCAACTGTAAACCGGAAAAAGTGTTTTACTTGGCGATTATCTTCAAAACTTTGAGATATTTGATATATTCATCGCCCCTAAAACATATGGACCATGCAACTGCCATATTACTAACTACTAAACATTCACGGATTTTTAGAATTATTTTCCATTAAATATAATCCTCCATTAACTCAGCAATGAAGACGTGTGCCACAAGATACTTTAAGCAAATTAACGAATATCAATGTCGATTGTAAGTTAAATGCGCGTGAAGTTACACTAAATTTCCATCTAATCATCGGGTTCCACTCGCACATTAATAAATAAAAAATTAATCCACTGTTGCAGATTTTTGAAAAAATAAGAATGAATGGAAAAAAATGAAAGGTGAGTATCGATACTTTCAGAGCCTGAATTAAAAAATTGTAACATTCTTTTAAATATTGATTCACCTGAGGAGGCGAAACTACAGGACCAGGTGTTGCTGTTTGACTGTTCTGGCCATTCGATCCTGTTCCATTGCTGGAAGTGCTGCTAGATACTTGCTGAGGCTGCTGTTGTTGCGCATTTAATACTGTCGGTGCTGCAACTGCAAGCAAAAACACTATTATTAATTAATGCAAACACGAAGATTGCAAGAAAAATATCAAGATATTACTAAGGTATGGCGTAAATTACGCTCTAGTTACAATTATGCATGATAATGGAATACCACTTAATGTGCAGTAGTACCTGAATAATCTATAGTTGCATGAGGGTGCGGTAAGCGCGGCATCATATGTATCTAAAGCAAATAAAATGCATTATTTGCTTCTAGAAATCAACTTTTAAAAACATATTTCAAGAATTCCTTTTTGTCTAGCTTAACTAAGGTAAGATCAACAGAATGTAAAACAGGCCTATAGAATCGGAAAAAAAGTAAATAGAATTTCAAGTATTTCTACTACATCGCAAACAGAAGTACTAGATTTCCATGAACATTCAATTTACAGCACAAAAATAAAAGTTAAAATATACTACAGAATGATCGCCTGGATAGAACTGGCGAGGAAAAGTGGCTGCAGGTTGAGTTTGAGTCTGAAAATTTTCTCTGAATGTGAAAGAAATCAGGGACATTTTAAACAGTGTAACTACTTTCAGAAATAAAGGCAACTAAGTGAAACATCTGCCAAAGTATTTAAATAAACTTATGTATTTCTTGATTTTGTTTCTGGGAAATTTCGAGAGTTTTTCAAAACCTACTAATAATTTACTCTAACATCTTCAAATATCCAGCATCATGATATATATATATATATATAATGATATAAACGAATCGAATACTGCAAAAAAAAAATGATCTCCAAGATGGTATAACTAACACAATAGTGATAAAATAATAATACTAACCTGTATTAGGGGATAAGGTGGAGGACCTGTGAGAACTGTATTTGTAGTTGGGGGAGGAAGCGGCGGTGGTGGCATACTGGAGGTTCCAATCGACAGCTGCGATGGGAAAGGTGCAAAATATGGTACCTGAAAGTCCTTATAAAATTAAGTGCTTAAGAAAACCAATAAGAAGCAAACTGCAAATGCTCATTATTTACAAAAATTCAATTAAGAAAAAGATGTTACTGTAAAGGACTAAACATTCTAAAAAAAAAACTGCCAGCAGCATCACATTGTTACATACATCAGATCTTGATAAAATAGAACTTTGCTAAACAATCATCGAAACTAGCATTTTTTTGGACATTCTCAATTTATTTATTTATTTTTCAACAATATATCATTCAAATACAATATAAAACGCACTTCAAAAAACTTTTTTCCAATAAAAAATTAACGCATTAAACGGACCTGATACTGAGTCATTAGCTGCTGAGCGTAAGGTTGACTAGCTCCAGGAACATACATTCCTGTTACACCTTGAATAAACTGCTGTTGGTTTCGTCTATTGCTAGAATTTATTTGTCCAGACATTTGACCCTGCCGTCCAACAGGTAAACCATTCGTATTTGCAACGATCGGACCACCCGTAACGTTTGCGGCTGTTGCTGTTGCTGCTGCCACACTTGGCGTAGTCTATAAGCTTTTAAACAACGTATAAACTATTTTTTAGAATCAAAGCAATAACAAGATATGTTTGTCCTTATTCCTAATTGTAGCTCTTTAATATTTAAAACTTTGCATATCTAATTTTTCAAGAACCTAATGAATACAGTATAACAAATTATAACACTCCAGTTAAAGATCAAAGAGTTAAATGCAACCAAAAAGAATTTTTGCTCATTACAAAAATATTATTTATAAGAAATGAGCATACATGTACTACTGGCGTACTATAATAAACTGGCACAGCAGGACCATAAGCATTAGGCTGTGCATAAGGAAACATCTGTGGTGGTCCTGCATGAGCTATTGACGGTACAGTCTGAAATGTGAAAACAATTTGAATGAACCAAAACTTATCCAAAAAAATAAATAAAACCGAAGTTTAGAACTATTAATCAAAGAAAGTTATATCATTTGTTTGGCAATGGTTGTGTATCCATGAAGACAAAGATGTGTTCACCTGTACTGATAAACCTTGTGCGTTGGCTAGAGCCAATCCTTGCACATGGCTCGGTGCCGCAATATGAGCAGACATGAGAGGCTGTGGACCAGGGGGAGTGCGGATACTATGCACTGTAGGGCGATGGCTAAAATGTTCAGGGTTGCGATATGTGGTAACTGATTGATTCCTCGGGACAAACGATGGAGCATCCGGATTCCAAACAAACTGTCGCCTGTGAACAGGAATATTATTTCATCTTCTGTGAACAGAAATATTATTTCATATGAAGCTTTCACTGTTATGTTCAAACCAGTGCTACACACAACAATACAAATCTGAACGTAAAGTACAGCTGAAAATGATTTAGAAATCATGCCAACCCATCGGATGTAGTGCTGACTACATTGGTAGTAGTTGTTTTCGCAGTATCGGTCATTGGAGCACTGGGTGTGGGATCAGTTGGAGCAATGGAAGAAGAAGAAGCAGCAGCAGACAAATGATGGGTCTGATGTGTATGCGTTGTTGAGGTTTGCGGTTCTGAAACTCGAGCAATAACATCTGCACAAGACGGTGGCGTTCTATCACAGGAACGAGCAGTTGCTGATACTGATTTAGCAGGACGTGATTCCGAGACCACAGCCAATGCTACCGTACTTGGTGACGATGATGCTGCCGCTGTAAGAGACGAACGCCCTGGAACTGAATTTTAACACTCATTCTAAAGGGAATATGATGCATAAGTTGCTGTTAATGAAGAATTGACAAGTCGATTAGTACCAGTAACATTAACTGTTGTCTGCACAAGTCCTCTAGCTCTAGTCGTTGTTGACTGGAATGTTCGTTGGTCATGTGATGTACAGGAGCTCGCTGCAGTTGTTCCCGAAGTAACAGTAACAATTGCAGCTGATACTTCCACATCTTTTCCTGATGGCAAGTCTATAACATCTGAACATGTTACACCTGCAAACAATTAAAATTAAATTCTCTCTGAAAATTACCACTGCGAGCCACTTGCGTTGATGAAGTAACGGATCCTCGCATGCCTGGAGGTGGTCCTTTATTCCATGCATTATTCACTGGTCTTGATACAACAGTGGATGTAGCCGGTCCTTGTGTAGTGTTTGTACGCTGAAAATGGCATTATTAACAAACTAACTGGAATCAAAATTAACCCAGACTCATAAACATCTCTTTAATGTATTTTTAGTTAAGTTATGCATTAAAAAAGTGCTCTATTTAATTCAACATCCTTTCTACCATCTCGTAGTACACCTTAACTTTAAATAAACAATTTGAAGTAAGCTAACTTGAGATTCATCGTTGGTAGTATGAACTGAATGTGAAGGCTGAAAAGTACTGTTGAAGTTTTGGTGAAATTCTTTCAAATTCCTGACCCGTTCTGTCTGTTTCGATGTCAGTTGACGAGAGGAACTCCCTGCATTATTTGATGTGTTTTGATAATGTAAATTTCTACTTTCATCGCCTAAAAAGTATACAGTTTATTCCTTATGGAAGGAAATCACTCCACTGCTTAATGTCTGAACTTGAACTATGTTCAAAATACCAATATAAAAAAGACCACAATAAACATACGAGATAATTGTCCCTCATGATGATTGGTCGCCAGACGTTGATTGTACACTCTTCCATTGTTTCCAATTACTTGTTCTGTTTGTCTCCCACCTCTATTTTCAGTAACTGATATGGGGCCTGAGCTTTCTCCACGTCGAACCCATTCTGAAGAAAACTATTCGCTTAAATCAAATAGTAAATAATACTACAGCTCACGAAAACAAGCGATGTGAGTATTTCTGTGCTGGAAAACAAAACTAGAAACCAATGATTTCGATTCATTACAATGGCAATCATATATGTAAGTGACTTCAAAATTCCAACTAAATTAAAGAAAAAAATCATACGTCCAAACTGTAAATGCAATTCTTGTGCAGTTGGTCTTTCTAAAATACCACTCGGTAGGTATCGTGAAGCGGGTCCTGAGACTGCACCAGGACCTCTCAATGAATGGCCCATAGATGAATTTGTGAACAGACGAGACGAACCTGACCCATAGGTTCTTCCTGAAAGTATCCCTATATTATCAAAAACCCCGCTTTCTAATCGTTCAAAATAAAATGTTTTCAATTTAAATATGTCCTCAGCTGAATAAAAACGAAAGAACAAAGTAAGAATAGAACAAATGGCTACTAATATTGTTACTTCGATTCCCACTTGATTTAATACAAAAGATAGTAGAAACTTAAAAACTTGATAAATCACTTATACCTCTTGCGGCCCCTGGTATGCCATCCAATCGCTTACTATTTGGTGGTCCTCTAGACATGTTAAAAGTTCCCTTATCTCGTGTATTTCCAGACTGGTTTCCACGTCTAAATAATTACCAGATACAAACCACTTTACCAAAAAAAACCAGTACAGCTTCGAAAGTAATTTTTCCATGAAAATTAAAAAAAATAATCGTCCAAAATTTTCCAATAAAATTAAATAAATTAAATACATCATTAGTCTTATTTTTCTTTAACCTAGGTAAAAAAATCTATTTTACCCTGCGCCTGATATTTTCCGACTATTCTGCTGCACTCGAAATTCTGATGTTTCTTTATCTAGATCACGCTCTTCATCGTCATTTTCCAATTGTGCACGTGCTCGGCTAGTGCTACTACTGTTAATCTCCTGAGCGATTCGTTCTGCCCGTTTGAAATCTTCGGCATCACCTTGCACATCAGCACTAAACATAAATGAGAGTTCTTCAGAAATATAAATTTTTGTAGTACTAGAAAATTTTTCTAGTACCTACTTAATAGACACTCTTGTCAAACTCTACATTACTTCATTGTAAGAAAAACAATCTTACAAAGAATCTTAATATTTTAAGTACCCAAACATTTAATGAAAAAATGCAATCTAAAAACCTAGAAAGATACAAAAATTACGTCGCGTATTCCACCATGTTTTCATCAAATGTACTTTTCACTCCCAAGATATCGTTTGCCTGAAACATTTGCTCAGCACTCCAACCATTCTCTTGATCCTCGTTCAGTGACAAACTACCGTCGTAATCTTCTTCCGTCTCCCAAGCTTGCAGCTCCATGTCCATGATGGGAGCAGATTGATCCGCATATTCCCGATCCGTTGCAAATCCTAGAATGTATAACTTAGGGCTTCATTTAAATGTTTTACTGATGATACCATGAAAAAGCTAGACTTTTAATTAAGAAGCTGACCTTCAATTCGCTTCTCATCTCGACACTTTGCTTCCACACTAAAAACACAATCCCTATCAAACTGCAGTTTATCAATAATCTGATCTTTATGCGGTAATAGATTATTTTGGTCTCCCACAAGTACTTCATGCGCACATCTTAAGCCAACATCAAACTGAAAAAAAATTATACAAATTGACGAATCAACTGAGAGAAAAAAAACTCATCAATAGTATTTAGCAAACAGTAGAAAAAACAAAAAATAGTTACATCTGGAGAGCAGCCAGCGAAAATTCCCTCAAATTTTGTGCCATCACGCGTCTCAACTATAATTTCCTTACCCTGCAAATTAAATGAAAAAACAATTCTGTTACTAAATTTTGTGACTGGCAAAACAACGTCTGCATTTCTAATATTTATAAATAATGCCTTTAATCAGTTCTCAGCGTAAAGCTCCAATTCATGTATACAAATCTTAATATGTTTGCATTTCTTATTTGTATATTCCACGATTTTGGAAATGTGGTTCCTTCTGTGTATACTATTCGAACATCAAACAAAAAAATGGAGTTTTTAGCGATGTGAAAACGCAAATACTCATGGATACATTATAAAAGAGGAACAGTTTGAAATCAGAAGAAAAAAAGTAGAACTCACAATCATCCTTGTTATTAAGGCCAGCAGATCTTGATTACCATAAAGTCCTCGAACTTCACAGATATTACTCTGAAAAATGCCATAATATGCATCATTGATTAATTTAAAGTTTTTGAACTTTTGTAGTGTAATTAAGAAACGAAAACGATACAACTTTTTGAAATTTCATAAAAATAACTTCGGAATGAATAAAATTTTTCTCAAAATTACAAAGACTGGTTCAGGATGAGCATAAAATGGAGAAAATACTTGATTGACAAACTATGAAATTAACACTCATAAGATCAAATTAATACTAAGAAATAAAAAGAATTTACTTCATCTTGAATCTTGTGAGGCATGATGCGTTTCTTTCTTAATACCAGCTGTAAGATATAATAATAACGATAGATTGTAATGCCAAAACCAACCACAATCAGCAAACTGATTACCAATGGTTACGATTTTGATCACACAAGTTTTTGGTTTTGTTATTATACCGAATCGTATTATGCTACTAATCAGAGCAATTGAGAGTGTAAACTAATTGACCAGTCGACCAATTAATTACTGAAAACTGATTCATAATTTATTGTTATGGAATATCACTAACTAAGAGGTTTCTACTGAGATGCGAACAAAAATTGAAATTGACCGTTAATAATGGATACCTTAACAATCATTTTTTTCATAATAAGTAAAGAAAGAACGGTGTTTCTAAAATGGCAGTTGTGTGATAATTACTATGTGACACAGCAGATAAGGTACGCATGCTACTGAAAACACTACCAAATATTTATCGATTTTAAATTTATAGCAAGAATCCATTCATAACAAATGAATATAGATCCATCAATAAAGATAGCTTTCGAAATAGAGAAAGAAGAGACAATGTATGGTTACAATTAAAAAAAATTAAATCAGATGCTTTCAATTGTTCATCATAAGGTCGAGCACTTAATCCATAAGATACTAGAAGAACAATCAAGATTAGGATCCAATTTAGATACTAGGTATATCTTCAAACTTTCTCAACACTGAAGGATGAAGTCATAAAGACTAAAGACGAACAATTAAAAGCGTCTAACAGTGTTCATAAATGTCTCATTTGCAGACAGATATGGAATAGATGAGATAATGCAGAGGAAGGTCACAGTAAATTGCATTTGAAATGACCAGACATCACAAGAAAGTTCAACAATGAAAAAACAGAGTAGCGTCCAATGTACAGTGGACCAATAGCCTCAATGCTCGCAGTCCTGAAATGACGGCAGCACAGCTTCTGACGCCACACAGCACACCTGCCCTATGACCCTCGACCTCTCCCCTGCCTCTTCTTTCTCGTGCTTGCTCTGTTCAAGAAAGATTGCATCAATTGATTACTTGCCGACCCCCTAACCGTCTACTTCACACCACGCACACCAATCCTATTCTTTATGCAATTGCACTCTCGTTTGCTTGGCAGCAAGCCAAGTTCCCTCCCTATCTAAACTACTTCACAAGCGTTACTCATGACAATATGGATTGAGCTTGTTTGTCTCGAGATCGTGCACATCACGCAACATGCAGGAATATTCGCCCACCACCTCAAGCATGGAATTCCTAGCGTCATTTCGCAGGGCATCTGCGTCACGTTTCAATTCAGATATAGTTCATTATGGAACTATGCAGCACACACAATATGAACAGAACAATTAATTGAAACTTCTAATTTCATTCAAAGAGAACAAAATACTGTCTTTCTACTTTCTGCTTGTTTAAAATGAAAATGAACAAGCAGAAAGTAGAAAGAGTAGGGACAAGAACATCATTCTTTTCGATTTTTTCGTGTGAATGGGACGAGGTAGACAGATTTAATTACACATTAAGCTGCCACCAATGTAAGTAATACAGCTGCAATTATAGAGTAACAAACATTCGAGAAAAAATAAAATAAAACCAGTAATTGAAAATATATGCTTGCAAAAAAAGGCACTAATAACTGTATGTCAATCACTCACAATAGCGATGTCAACTTTGCATGAAAAAAGTGAAAAGTAAAAAATAAACAAGTTCCGCAGTGACATTCAGTACTACTCAACCACGTAAAGCGACTCGCACAGGGTCATATGCAAGCATTAAATGACCTATTATGGATGTCTGACGTTCCAACATATGCAACTCCATGACTGCAAGAGAGAACAGAGGGAGATGTAGAGATTGCGGGGTTAGGGTAGTGGTCAGAGATGCTTTCTACGAACGGATTGCGTTGACCTCGTGTGGAACATACACCTCTCTTCCTCTGCTCTAAGCTACGTCTAGATCTATCTACTCGTCGTGCCATCGATTACTGAAGGAATGTGAATTTTGCGAAGAGAAAACACCACCAATAAAATAAGATTAACAGCACAAACTGCACTCTCTTCTTCTCAATATTCTTTTACATAATTTACTCAATATTGTATATATAACACTCTACAATCACCCTCTACCGCAGGCATCGGTGGTTCAGTGGTAGAATGCTCGCCTGCCACGCGGGCGGCCCGGGTTCGATTCCCGGCCGATGCAGACTTTTACTTGTACTAACACGCAATTCTTTAATAGTTATTCTTCACACTATTACATATATATATATATGCGAGCTGAGCAATTTGGACTCATTGTGCACTGCATAATTTCAATCAATAGTTAGTCTTAACTGTCGTGTCTTCATTGCTCGATGATGAATCCTCTCCAGTTCAGCATCATCCAAATCAAGATCTATAACCTGAAATCAGTCTTCATTCCAGACGCTGGATCTTAAACTTAAGAGATACGAATAAAAGTGGGTGGATCAGTAATTTAAACAAGCAAACCACAGATACATTTGCCCTAGATCACAACCTTTCTAAGCACCTTTTGAATAAGAAAATCTTCCGTCATTATTTTCTCTGGTAAATGCCTCAGTCGTGTCACAATGGAATGAAAATCATTAAATTCTTTTAACTGGTCATTGCTACGGAGTCCATAACGGAACAAAATTACAGCCACTTTGAAGAGCACTTTGATACCTGTAAATTGATCCTTTCCAGCTTATCCTGCATAAAATATATTTTTTGCCTTAATAAAGCTCTTCTACATATCTGAAATACTCAGCCACCAAAAATACTCGCCACTAGGTTATAAAATTAGCCAAGAAAAAATATTTCGAAATAACCTCATTGTTTAAATTTAGTTTCAAATAAAACTTACTTAAAAGGCATACTTATCAATAACAATTCAAACAATATAATATTTAGAAAAAACAATGCTTCTGTAGAGCTGACCTTCGCAAAAAAACATATCCCACACACGAAGTACTGTTGGCCAAGGAAGAGTTCGACAAAAAATACACATGAACCATTCAACCATGTATAATACTGGTTCAACACGATGTTTTTTCTGCAATTAAAAGCTTTCTATTCTACAAGTTTCTTTTGAAAAAATTGTACTGAAAGATTCAACAAGAAATACTAGATGTCTGTAACTGAATCGCGATTTTTCTTTCAGCACTTGAAATAAGATGTCGCCATCGATTTGTATAGCTTCCTATAAACGGCAGAGTAAACTATGAGATGAATCAACAGAAAATAAACTTTCGTTTCATATACTTTTGATTAGACAGTACCTAGATTATTCCTCAGTTATCAAAATTAACAGAATATAAAAAATCAAAGCTTAATAAAATATAGAAACAATAATCTTAATAAAAAATAAGGTATACCAAGTGCCAAAATAGCCATGTTTTCAGAGATTCAACCTAATGAGAAAATTGGCTCAAGACTGTGATAACTTTACACAAGAGTTGCACTGTAAAGTTATTATCCGAAATAGTAAAAAAGATATTTTAAAAAAACAAAGACTGACATAGTATAAAAGTTTCATGCTTGACAGTGAAAAACTTACTAAGCCCACGCTATAATAACCAGGCAAATATTTGTGACAAATCTGCACAAAACAATAAAAGGCATCTCGTAACGGCATATGCATTAGCAAGACAGCTGCAACTGGAGCTTGTCCTTGGCAATATCCTTCTTCAGGATGTAACACAGTATATGCTTTCAGTAATTCAAACAAGTCTGACTTCCTGTAACAAAACAATACAAGTTGATAGATTGAAAAGTAAATTTGTATTTAATAGGTATCATTTGATATGATTAAATATGTCTAAACAGACACTTTTCTCAGGAATAAGATTCACAAATCATTCATCCATCAACAACAAATTTTTTCCACTGGTTTTTGATTGATACATTTGGTTTTACAAAAACACTGGTCAAAAATTAAATATATTTTAAAATAAAAGTTAATTGCAAAAAGTACCCTCCTTCTCCATATGGTCCAGTGCGAGAAAACATAACATGTTCCGGAAATTGTCGATTCAAATCTTTCTTAATGTCTTCAACCCATCGAGGATCTCCAGGTTGACTGCTGACTTCCTATATGTAGCACATTTAATATTTTACATAGCACTTTTCCAAAGGTGATAAATTTTTATTTATTGTTTTAATCTAGAGATTAAAAAAAGAATAATATGTTTCTGACTTCAAAAACATGCTTGTTCACACTAAATTCCATATGAAAAGTAGCTCCACATAAATGTTTCCAAGCTCGACCACGCAGTGAGGACGGTATACCTTTACGACAACGTTCTCTCACTTTCTCATATTTGTGGTCCATAAAATACGACCAGTTTGTAAGCATATGAAGCCACTTTTTTTCTCGTTTCCGCAACGTCTGTAAATCGACTGTTGCATCACCACTTCTAAAACGAACGAAATTAAAACATTCCTGAACAACTTTTAGATTGCACTTAAAGAAGCACTCGGGAAGGTAGTAAAGACTGCTTTTTGCTTTGACGGTAATACAGCGAAATAACTGACAGATTAATACAGCAGAAATCATTTACATAATTTTAAATTATAATTCATTCGATATACTTTTTCACAAGACAAACTAAGCCAGCCAATTCTATAGTATGTTTCTGATTTGTATGACCAAAATAAACACACAAGTTGAATATTAATGTGGTTACGAATATTACTAGTTAAATAATGTTTAAAATGAATAGAAAACTAACGTATAATTTGAATTTCGTATAAAACCAAATGTATCAATCCGAGAACTATGAAAGAAATCTGCAGCTAATGGATGGTTGACTTCTGAGTCGTATTCAGAAGTTCTTTCTGTCTTTTTTTTGGTTGCGTTAACTTCTATTACAAAACACCCATTATGTTCTAGAACTGGTGTAGCATGCATTATCTCTGATGTGGTTCCAGACTCAGTTTCCTGAAAACAGACATGCCAACAAATGATCAGCTCCGATAAATGACAATAATTTATGAGGCAGTAAATAACACTACTTTAACTGCCAAAACGAGCAATTTACAAGCTTGTAACGTCAAAAAGAGTGTGAAAAACAACTGATGTGATGCCCGCAACTTTGGCAAATTTTCGCAGAACATTCATAATTATAAACACAGTCGTACCTGTGATATATCTTGAGATGCCCGCACCGTCGAATGTGAGGTACTGTTATCATTTTGTTTAATTGTACTTGTGATGTCAACACCAAAATCCAATGAATAATTCGTTGGGGCACGTACAACGACGTCATCACATTGCATTTTTTTATTTTCGTGACGTGACATGTGCAACTGTCTATAAAGTATTAAACTAATAACTTTTAAAAATGAAGTGAAACATTAAACGAAATACCAGAAGGCCAATTAATAAAGGCGATTCCGAGTAAAAATCTTATTGTCTTGAGCTAATTTAATACATAAACTAACTTTAGACACTTTCTCAAAGTAGATTATACTGACAAAAAGTCATCTGTGGATTTGCCAATGCAAATGCTTCCTGTTACATAGCAAGGCTAAACTATGATGGCCGTCATGAGTAAAAAACACTTGCAGAAATAAATTAGTTTAATTTATATGTAAAATAACATTTAGTTTAAGAGATTAAAGTTTATGAGATTAAACTAAATGTTATTTTACATAGGAAACTGCTTTGTAAACACACGAAAAAACATGAATCGTATCTAATACTGAGAATATTAAATGAGCAAGTCCAATACGTTTCTTACATATCTAAATTTCTCAAAGTTAAAGTGAAACGTAATTATTTTATTATTCAAGAAACCCGGGGTATTCTGCGGTTGCCCGATAACTAATTAAATTACAAATAGACTAACTGACTGTCTGACTGATTGGCAGCTTTACTAATTGAATGATCATCATCTGTTAGTCAAGGTTTGTTCCTCCGTCTTCAGTCTTTGCAAATGAATTTCAAAGTCGAGTGTCCTGGGTTATCGAAATGTCTGTTTCTTGCAAAATGTGCCAGAACTGGTTGGCTGAATCAGTCAGTCTCTAGCTTTACATACCCTTTTCAAATATGGACTGCATCTCTATATCATTTTTCTTGTTTTTTTAGATGGTGAGTTCCGATTCTTAGTACAGTTCTGTGTGCCAAACGACTGATAATAAATAGATGAGATTAACCTCTTACATTCTTGGTGTTCAATCCTTGCGAATAAACGAACGAATGATTGATTGATTGATTGATTGACATAATGAGAGTATCAAGCGCAGCGTAGTGTCAGTTAGCGGTCTCATT